TTTTTTTTTTTTTTTTTTTTTTTTTTTTTTTTTTTTTTTTTTTTTTTTTTTTTTTTTTTTTTTTTTTTTTTTTTTTTCCGTGTTACAACCAGAAATTTTGATGTATCAGATAAAGAGGTAGAAAAAGAAATGCCAGATGGAGAGACAACAAAAACTACCAAGGCATTGACTCAAAATGTTAGAGATAAAGGTAAAAGGGTGGCAGAAACTTCAAAAAATAAATAGAAAAAAAAAAAAGAAGAGTGGAAGGACTGCTCAAGAAGAAGATGATTCGGATAAGATTCTTGCTGAGCTAGGAGAGTGGCCTAGTATATCAAAACCAGCAAACCCTCCTCTTTCTTCACAAGAGGCCAAAGTTGAGACCCCACCTGACCTTGTAACTCCTCCTGATGCATCTCTTGAACAGGAAGCTGAAGAAGAGAGCACAAAAACGACTGTCGCTAAGAAGAAGAAAAAGCGTAGGCAAAAGGAAAGAGAAAAAGAGAAGCTGCTAAAGAACAAACAAGAAGGCAAGCTGTTAAAAGGGAAACAAAGTGAAGTTTGAAGTTTTTCGCTCTTCAGTTGTTAAGAAATAAGCTTGCACTAAAGGAGACTGTCAAAATTAGTGCAACTTATTTTAGATGTAATTAGGAACTTGTTAAGCCATTCATCTTGGAATAGTTTATTTTAGTAGAGTTTTTGTAGGAGCTATTTATAGGATTTATTTTTGTTTAAACGGGTGCCTTCAGCTTAGTAAAACAAGCCACAACAGTTCATTATTTTAGTTGTCTCTGTATTACCCTCTTTGAGTAATAATAATTTCATATTTATTCACACCTTTGAGGGTGAGATATTGTGACAGTATCCCACGCCTCCTTGGACGTAGTAGCGGCAACCACATCGCGAAGAATCTCCTCATACATAGAGGAGAGAAGGCTACTTATGACCCTGATCATACCACCAATCATAGGCCGAATTAGAGACCAGGTCAACACCAACAGCGGTTGAGGAAGGGACCAGCTTGGCAAGTACGACAATGGTGCCATCGAGGTAGCCCATAAGTTTCGTACTTCGTAGGTAGGGGGGAGCTGAGCGTGCCATATGATGAAGTTATTTTGGTGAGATAGATTGTGACAGCATGACGAAGACGGATTGGGGCAAAGGTCGACGTCATGGGTAATGGGTGGTTCATGCTATCCTGTGTATATTATCAATAATGGTCGTATAAAAAAGAAGCATGCTTGTTAGTGTTTGAAGTCTTTTTGTTATCCTTAACATGCTTAAGATTGTAACTTTGTCTAAATTTTCTGATTATAGTGATCTAATAACTGACGTTAGCTCTCAATGTCACTTAGCTCATGAAGCTCGCAAACCATCTTGAAGTACTAAAATTGGGGGAATGAAAGACATTCAAACAATGAGTTCCCAAACAATACCGTTCGAATGACTTACACCAAGAATGATATAGACAATCTTTCTTGAACTGTGTGATCGGAGAATACTCAATATTACAAATCAATAATGTGATTTATCATTATTTATTTGAACAATAGGCCCAAAGTCAAATATATTATGTGTATAATTTCCTTATTATTTTATTTGAATAATAGGCCAGAAGAGGAGACGAGCCTCGATTAAGGGGAGATTGTTTGAGATCACCAACAATGAAAAAGATATGCGAGACAAGAAAATTGTAGAAAAAATTTGCTTGCCCTAAAAAAATTTACTTCTGTTATAACATCTATGGAAGAATCAAAAGATACTGATAACATGTTCATCGCTAAATTACAAAGTTCATTAGTGGTGCATGAACAAAAATTTGGCTTTGCTTTAGGCTTACCCAGCCCTCACACCAATGGAGAGAGTATTCTTTGTTTATAAAAACATGATCATTTCCTAAATTAGCCCTCGAAAAAACCTCCCCTTAATCGAGGCTTGACTCCTTTTGAGTCTTAGTCATTTTTTAATGCCTTCGTACCTTCGAGGGCATGCCCCCCTTAATCAAGGCTCGACTCCTTTTGAGGATTTACCAATCTATTGATATGACTAAGTTTAGGGCATGACTCTGATATCATGTTAGATGAATACAAAAATTTGGCTTTGCTTTGGGCTTCCCCAGCCCTCACACCAATGGAGAGAGTATTTTTTGTTTATAAAAACATGATCATTTCCTAAATTAGCCCTCGAACAAAGCACGCCTCCCCTTAATCGAGGCTTAACTCCTTTTGAGTCTTAGTCATTTTTTAATGCCTTCGTACCTTCGAGGGCATGCCCCCCTTAATCAAGGCTCGACTCCTTTTGAGGATTTACCAATCTATTGAGACTCCTTTTGAGGATTTACCAATCTATTGATATGACTAAGTTTAGGGCATGACTCTGATATCATGTTAGATGAATACAAAAATTTGGCTTTGCTTTGGGCTTTCCCAGCCCTCACACCAATGGAGAGAGTATTCTTTGTTTATAAAAACATGATCATTCCCTAAATTAGCCCTCAAACAAAGCACGCCTCCTTTTTTTTATTGCCTTCGTGCCTTCGAGGACTCATTGTTCCCTTTGAGTATAAACTCTCATGCCTTTGCTTTGGGCTTCCCAAAAGGTCTCATACCAATGGAGTGAGTATTCTTTGTTTATAAACCCATGATTATTCCCTAAATTAGCTGATGTGGGACTTTTATCATCCAACAGAATCATAAAGGAAAAGGAACTTACCGGGGCGGAGGAATCTCTCTCCACTCCTTTCCCATTCTCTGTTTAAACTGAATTCTCATCCCGACCCCGCAGGTGAAATGCATATATATGAAGACACCTTCAATTAATTTTAATATTCACAAAAAATGAGGGACTATATTAAAAATATTAATAGATAAGGGGTTAAATTGAAAATTTAAAATGGACATGGACTAAATTGAAATTTTTTATACCACATACTTGAAAAAGAGTAACCCCTATGTTTATTGTTTGGCAGCTTTTTGCCCTTGAAAAACGTCCATTTCCGGCCTTAGGTGGCTCATTGGCCTCCCGCCATTCGGACATTCGAACGCTCCTTCTCTGCATTTGACCATCTGCTCTCCACTCCCTCTACTTTGTCCAATCTTGACAGCATGAATTCCAAACCAGGTACAGGAAACTACTCAACTTTCTAGCATTCATCTTCCTTCCATTCGTTATATAATTTGTAGCCTAGTTTCTTACTGTGTTAAACGGGTCAAATTCTAGCTGGGAAGGGCATTGATTTGTGGTCCGAGTTAATAGCTAGCGAAGGAAGCGAGGGCCAAGAAGAGGCGCGAGTAGAAGAGGTTTATAGACGAAGAAGGCCATCCCAGAAGACCGTTCATGAAGTTCCTTTGTAAACTTTCTTCACTGACTTGTTTAATTTCTCTTTCTGTTTTCTTTTGTGTGATGAAATCCATTGTTTCTTGTTTTCGTTTCGGTTTTCTTGCAGGAAGCAAAACTTAGGTTCGAATCTTCGCGATGTGAACAGATTGAGTTTTGCTGCTGTTAACAGTAAGAGAATTAGTTGGAACCGTGCCCTTTCCATCAGGTTTACTTCGTTTTTCTCTTAATGTTCTTCTCAACTTCTTGCTGCCAATTCCAATAAGGGTGCTTATGTAGTTTGATCTGTGCTTTCTTAGTTCTTGTTAACACGGACGATTTCGTTGTAGCTTATCGCTTTTAAGTTGACCATGTAATGACTAAAATGAAACACAAGGAGGCAAATATCCAAACGACAACAAAGAAAGCCTACGTGATAGATTAATACGTTCTGCGGCAGTAGATTGTTAAGTTACCACGAGTTATCATTCCTTATCGGATGCCATGAAGTGATCTTAGAAAGATAGATGAGTTGTATGATCTTCGTTGCCTTACATAAAACAGTCGACATTTAAATTTTTTTTTTTTTTTTCCTCCAGTCCTCTTAGATATTTCTAAAAAGTGGCTATAGAGTTTTGAGAGCAATACTGTATGACCTTGGCCCTTATAGTACATTCTTCTTTTCTTGTAAAAAAAGAAAGTATTATTCACATACCCTATAGTATGTATAATGAAACTCTTTAGCAAGTCTTGGGTTCTATTGGCTCGATTTTCTGATGCACCCAAGTTTAAGCTATTTTGTTGAAATTGAAAAATCAGCCTAAAAACATACAAAAACGCTGTATTTATACAAGAGGGAGGGCTTGCCTGATCGGTCAACAGCCTGCTTACCGACTAAACAGCCAAAAAATAGCTGTAACAAACATAAAACTATCAGCCTAAAGAACTACAAGAAAGAGAATAAAATTACCACAACAATGACTGGTTAAGAAAACTAACATAATGAAAGGCCCTGCATCAAATCCTTCCCACCAAAACAAAACTCAACCCACAAGTTTAAGGTGCTAAGTTTAATTCATAAGGATCAAAGTAGGGGAAGGCGATGGTCATTAGGTGTTGTTGCAAGTCTAAATTATCTTGCTGTTTTTTATATTAAGTTTCAATGAGATACATGTGCCTTTTATAATATATAAAGGCTAACTAAATCTCTAAATACTAGGTAACAATATAGATAAATTAGGGGTCAACTACTTTTCTTATTTAATGAAATTACATAGGTATTCCTTCAACACTCCCCCTTAAGCTGAGTAATAGATATAACGGTTACGTACTCTATCCTCATTAGTGGGGAAGGTCAAGGGGGAGGATCTAGAGCATCAAGAAGAGACCTTAGACAAGATGTTCTTAGTCTCCTTTCCTCTTCTTGCTTGTTGTGTATACCCTCAGTAAGATTGTTTCCAAATTTGTTGATGGAAACATTATCAACAGCTTTTGAGGTCGGGAAAGATAAGTTACCCCATCTTATTTCATACTATTTTCTTTTGCTCTAGGAAAGAGGAGTCGTTTCTAGACCAATCTTAGCGTTTTTTGAGGCCATGTTGGGACTTAAAATCAATAGAGATAAATGTCAGATTCTAGGTTTGACTTGTGACCCCAGGAAGGTGAGTAGTTGGGCTGCTCATGTAGGTTACGAGATTGGTTTGTTTCTCTCATCGTACTTAGGGCTCCCCTTTGCCATAATCCAAGTACTCTTCCTTTCTGAAACCTTGTGGTGGACAAGGTGAGAAAGAGAGTTGCCTTTTGGAAGAGAATCCTTTCTCAAAAGGTGGTAGAAGGACCTTCATTCTCTCAGTGTTGAGTGGCTTCCCTATCTATTTCTTCTTCCTTTTTAGAGCCAATTATTCTGTGTGTAAAAATATTGAGAAGCTTATGAGGGACTTCTTGCGGTAAGGGATGATGAGGGTAGAAGTGTGCATCGTGTGAGTTGGGAGATGATGGAAAACTTGATAAACCTTTTGGGTTAGAACTAGGGAATTTAAGGACTCATAACAAAGCCTTGTTAGCCAAATGCTTTAGCGGTTTCTCCTTGTCCAAAACCCTTTGATATAGGATTTTAACAAGCAAGCATAAACCTCATCCTTATGAGTGGACGTTGGGTGGGGTCAAGGACACTTACAGGAATCTATGGAAAGAAACATGAAATGGACTCCTCTCTTTTCCTTACCTTGTTCACTATTTTGTGAGCGATCAGAAGGAAACATATTTCTGGCAGGATAAGTGAGTGGGGGATAAACAAATGTGCTTTATGTTTCTCCATTTATATCATTTGTCCTTCATGAAAATCCGTTTTGTGGCTGATGTTTTGGATCCTTCCAAGAGCTCTCCTTCTCTTTTACTTGGTTTTTGTCGTTCATTGTCTTATAGGGAAATAGTGGATATCACAACTCTCTTATCATCGATTAGAGAGTTTGAGTCTAGGTTGGGGAGAATGGATGTTCGTTTTTGGAGTCCCAATTCGACTAAGGGCCTCTCTTTTAGATCATTCTTCCATTGTTTGTTGGACCCTTCTCCCTCTATTGATTTCATTTTTATTCTCTATGGAAGGAGAAAGTCCAAAGAACGTTGAATTAGTTATTCATGTAATAGTAGACACTTTTGATCGACTTACAATAAAGACGTCTTCTCTGGTTGGGTCGTTTTGTTGCATTATTTGTTAGAGGGCGACGGAAGATTTGGATCATATCCTTTGGAGATATTCTTTTGCTTGTTCTGTTTGGAGTTATTTTTTTTAATGTGTTTGAGTTCTAGTTATCAAGACACAGAGATTACAGGGAGATGATCAAGGAGTTTCTTCCTCATACCTTTTTAAGAGGGGGGATTTCCGTAACAAGCCAAAGTTTGTGCTTTAATATAGAGACATTGAGGGGAGAGGAACAATAGAACTTTTAGAGGAATTGAAAGGGATACAAGTGACTTTTGATCTCTCATTAGATTCTATGTTTTTCTTTGGGTGCCGGTGTCAAATTCATTTTGTAACTATTGATTAGGTTTTATTCTTCTTGATTGAAGTCCCTTTCTCTAATAGGGCTCCCTTTTGTAGGTTTGATTCTTTTGGATGCTCTTGTAGTCTTTCAATTTTTTTTCTTAATGAAAGCTAGCTTTTCATCAAATATATAAATATTGAGAGTCGAGAGAAAAGAGACAACTTGATGACTTTTTGGACAATCATATGATAGTTTTTTATTGTTTGTTGGAAATGAAATTCCCCTATGGGTCTTGTCCTTGGAGGATTTAGCTCCAACCAAGGTGGGGAATTCCCATTTAGAATAGAATCGGGAAATAGTTTCCATCAATGTTTTTGGAAACAGGGATGGGAATTACATTTCCCGTGCCACCTTTCCTCTGTCCTTGATTCCAAGTTTAAAAAATAACTAAAAACATTTACCATCCTTTTCTATTATAATGGTTGATATGAAATATTTAATATTTTTTTAAAATTAATTATTTAAATTAGTAAATAATGTAAATACAAAAAGTTTCATCTAAGATGCATGTAATTTTAATATATTTGTTTCGATTTTGATATTGACTACTTTTTTAATCTAAACAAATTAAATATTGAATGGGAAATTGTTTTTAGTGATCCCGACATGGGGATGGCGATTTCCCAACCTTGACCATCATTGGGTACAAAGATTAAATAGGTTTCTATATAGCTAGTGACAAGGAGGGCAGTCTCCGACCCTGCTCCATTGCTTTATTGATTGATGTTACTCTCTGACTATATATTCATGTATTGTCTTCATTTTCTTTCTCATTCTTTTGCCATTGGCTGAGTGTATTGTGTTCACTTTTATCAGAGGTAGGGCGAGTATTGCAGTTGAGGCTTGTTTAGATCATCAGCTTCGGCATAAGGAGGCAAAGAGAAAAGGAAAACCTGCTCTACCCAAAGTAGGCTTCTTTTTCTTTTGGTGACCTTTGTTTCCCCTTTACTTTATGCAATTTTGAAGAGTGTTCCGTACGTGTAATCTTATTTAAAAAAATTTGGACCTTTTTGTATCACACACCAATACCTTGCATAGAGTATTTGAAGTCAATATGAGCTCCTTCTTCTACACTCATCGCATTTATTTTAATATTTGAAATTGACAGGGAAAGTTTGTACAACCTACCAACTTTGACAGGGAGCGTGCATACTTTCAAGAGGTAGATGCTTTTGAGTTGTTGGAGGAGAGCCCTTCACCCAAGAGATTCGGTACATGGGCAAGTAGTCAGTTTGATAGTGCTGCATTACCATCTCTATGCTCTAAAATAGAAAAATGGTTAATTTCCAAGAAATCAAATTACAGTCTTGCACCTTCAAGCACGTTATCAAAGATATTAGAAACTCCACTGGAGTCCAGAGAACCAATTGGTGGCAAACATTTGGACAAATTCAATTTGGGAACTCCTGATAAGTCTGCTAGAGAGATAGATGCGCGCTTGTGCTCTATTCAGAGAAGATTTATTTCCAGTCTAAATGATATCGATGCCCTTGAAATAGATAGCACTCGAGACAACAGAAGTACCAGAGCAGAAGATGTGAGCACAGAGGATCGTGCAGACCTTGAAGTTTCTGTGAAAAAACTTTCTTTAACATCAACATCTACTTCTTTCCATAACTATAATTTGGATCCATTTAATGCATTATTAGCAGTTTGTGGACAGTCAGCTCCTTCCACGCTTAAGGATGCATTCTCTAATTATTGGTTTGTTCCTCAGTCTGCAAATACTTATTTTCATATATTTATTCTGCTTATTGGCTTAAAAGAACATAAAAACAGTATATCTAGCCTTTTGTCTTCTCCAAGATTTAAAGGTTGGTTTCTGAATCAGTCATCTTCTTTGCAACTCGGACTTCGTTGCTTAAGAAGTGGCAGGAATAGGTTCCACCTCTAAACGGAGATTCATAAGTAATGTAATTAATGCCTATGAAGTGTTCTTTTTGAGGATCAGCTTTTTAGGGATCCTGTTGCTGCCTTTTAGTTTATTTTCAAGCTTATAGCACGACAACTTCTACTTGGAACTATTAATTGGATGAGTTGATTCAGGATCAATCCCGACAAGTTACAGCTTTCTTATAACTGTTGAACTCAAGTAATTTATCTGAAATTGCAGTCACCATTTGTTATAGAGTAAATAAATACATTCACATATATTTTGCCCTATGCGATTATGCATATGGTTTGTGGTCACTGCTCTTGCAACTATTGTTGTTCTCCCGTTAATTTCTTGGCTTACTTTAGTTCGTATGTTCCTCATTCACAATTTTTAAATTTCGTTGATTAGTGAATTTTTTGACTCAGTGACCCGGAAACTATTGTCAAGGTTGGTGAAGGTACATATGGAGAAGCTTTTAAAGCTGGTAACACCGTTTGCAAGATAGTTCCAATTGACGGAGATTTACAAGTTAATGGAGAAGTGCAAAAGGTACATTTTACCACCAACTCATGGCTGTTCCAGCCTGGCAAGTGGCACTTCATGGAAAATTTCAGGGATGGAAGATCATGTTGAAGAGTTCTTTCGTTTTGGAAGCAGATTTTTAATGCATTGATTTTTCTTTAAATTCGTTATTATATATATATTTTCGTTCGTTCTTTAAAAATTATAATAATTGTTTTTTTCTTTTGTACCATCCCGATGATTCTGATGAATGTAGTTGAAGTCAGAAATTTGTTATAACTCTAAGTCAGTCATACTTACCTTGTATCAGAGATCAGAAGAACTGCTCGAGGAAGTCATACTTTCCAGAACTCTGAATTCTCTAAGAAATCAAGAGGGCGGTGCTGATAATTTTTGCTCAACATTCATACGAACCATAGAGTATGTTTACTGCCTAGTAAGATAAATGGTCATGGTTTTCTACGATGTCAATGCACATCCACTAGCTAGAATTTTCCACCACGCTTTTCCTTTATCTGCAGTAGTTTGTTTCTGCTTTATGTTGGGCTATCAAACATTCTGATGTGATGCAATTTTTAGGTCAATTAAAGAGTAGAAAACTTGTTTCCAGCTCATCTCATACGCTGGGTTTTGTGAGAATAATTGCCGTTGGTAATAATGGAGCAGTTTCTCATGGACTATTAAACTAATACTTTCGTGATCTTTTTATCCAATAGTTTAAGGGTGTGCCAAGGTTCTTATGATGCTCTACTAATCAAGGCTTGGGAAGATTGGGATGAAAAGCATGGCTCGGAAAATGATCACCCTAAGGAGTTTCCAGAGAAACAGGTTTCTTTTTGTATAGATCATGAATTATTTCTTTTTCTGAAATATAAAAAGCTTCATGCATCTGAGTTTTTATCGTTTATATGTACCAACGCCATAAAGGGGAACAAAAGCATGGAAACGTATATTTGTTCGCATAATATTGCTTATCTTGTGAAAATAATTTATGTAGCTAGAAGATCACGATCATTTTAATTGTGTGTTTCTTTGTATAGTACCAACTTTTCACTTTTTTTTGTAAGACCTCACAATCTATTCCTCGAGTGATGGTTTGAAATTATTTTAAATAAAATGTCATATTATGATATTAGAGGCTTGGTTATGCAATTTATCCTGTGGTTGACTTTTGCTGATGTTCTGTAGTGTTATGTGGTGTTTGTTCTCCAACATGGGGGAAAAGATCTTGAAAGCTTTGTACTCCTGAACTTTGATGAAGCCCAGAGCTTATTAGTACAGGTTTGCAATGGATTTTACTAGCATTATTAGCTTTTGAAGCTTTAACCAGATCCAATTTTGACGAACTGCAGGTTACTGCGGCCTTGGCTGTGGCTGAAGCTGCTTATGAATTTGAACACCGAGATCTGCATTGGTCGGGTTCTTCTTCCATCTACAGTTAATTTGGTAGTTTCTTTTCATTGACTACTGATTTGGATCGTGTATTTATTGCCAGGGGAAATGTACTTTTGAGTCGGAATGATTCTGAAGCGCTGCAGTTCACCCTTGAGGGTAAGAACATGACCGTACAAACATTTGGACTTCAGATTTCGATCATTGACTTCACCCTATCGCGAATCAATACTGGTAAGAGGTTTTTAATTTATCATCTATGGAGTTTGCACTGAGACAATTCCCTTAATTAAAATTTGTTTATGAGTTAGTTTTGTTGGTTGCCTGGTCAAAAAGGGAGTTAGAAAACTGAATGAATGTTTGACATGCAGGTGAAGACATACTCTTTTTAGATCTCTCATCGGATCCTGATCTCTTTAAGGGTGCAAAAGGAGATAGACAAGTAAGCAAGCATTCAATTTGATTACTTAAGAATTAAGATAAATCTTATCAATCCACTTATTTGAAAATTTTCGTGTTACTTTTTTATTTTTATTTTTATTTTTATTTTTGTTCTCATATGCAGTCAGAAACATATAGGAAAATGAAGGAGGTGACTGGAGACTGCTGGGAGGGGAGGTACAAGTGTTTATGCGTTTATCTTTCTATCATATCTGAATCAATTATAGAGGTGATTTTGATCTTTTTCCCCTTTGGCATCCTCAGGATTTAATTGTTTATAAATTTTAGAAAGACTAATATATGCTTAGTGGCTAATATTTGATATTTTAAAATCTATTTCTGTTTTATAATTTCCAATTTAGCCTTAAAACAAGATGCCCCAACAGTCATGTTTCCTCTTTACTTCCAAGAACTCCTATACAGTTAAAAGACAAAAAGCCTGGGATAACATTCTATTGAACTCGAGTAATAAGAGATTTTTTGTTTGTATTCACAATGGATTTGTACTCTCAAAATTCATTTTAGTCCTTGTAATTTAACCTTTATTGTAAAAGATTTCTCAAAATTAAATGTCAACTTTTATTATGTAATTATTTAATATATTTTTTTTTTATATAGTTTATAAGTATATTTGGTTCCTAATTAGTTTGATCTATCTATGTAAAAAATTTTAAATTTTAATGATACTTTTTATTATATAGACTAAATTATTCCAAATTTTAACGTACACGGACTAAGTTTGTACACCTTAGAGACTAAATTCTTACACAAATGAAAATACAAAAACTAAAACATTAAAAAAATTTTAAGGACTACAATGTTACTTGGATGAAAGTTGAAGGACAAAAGGTAATTTTTGACCGAACATTTTTTAATTCAATCTCTTTTAATGTTGGTGAATATGAAAATTGGTTGATTATAAACTTACAAACTAAGAAAAATCTAGAGGAGAAAAAGTCATCTAGAAGGAAAACAATCGAAATTTCTTCTAATTCCTTAGGAATTTAGAGGAGAAATAAAAAACTTTACCTTTTTCTCCTCAAATTTTAACATTTATCAATTGTCATGGACTAAATTGAAAAATGATAATGCATAGAGGATTATCTTGAAACTTTTTAAGCGATTGGGATTAGATTAAAAAAGAGTGACTAAAAAATATTTAGCCTTTTAGAAATGTCCAAAAAAGATGTGGACGGTACTGTTTGTGCTGGATTATCTGCTTGGTAAAAGTGTAAAGGGGAAGATCTTATTCTCGCTCTTTTTCCCTCCTTTCAGCAAGAGCGTCCATTGTTATTCTACTTTATATGAATCCACAAACTCCATGCACAAAGTTGATACATCTAAAATTTTAGAATGTAAGCGATGAAATTTAGCAAGATAATTTATAGCTTTCAAGTATAGTACTCAGTAGTAGACATTTTGCCATCCATCATACTAACCTGATACCTTTCACCATTGAAAATTGTCTGTGACTCATAACTGAAACCGTTGATTTTGTATTCAACAGCTTTCCTAGAACGAACGTCCTGTGGTTACTCTACCTTGTGCATATATTACTTCTGAAGAAATCATTCGTAAGTCTTCTATATCTAATTAGGAAACCAATCATAATTGTTCCTTAGAACCCAAAGAATTGAATTTAGCTTTTGTGAACAATCACTTTCATTTGTTGTAAGTTACTAAAAGAAAATGTGTTTCTCATTTCTCAAGGACTGAGTAGATTCAAATGGTGCTCAGTACATTTTAGATGCAGAATATCAACAGAATTTGTTAAGTTATAATTCTTATTCTGGAGTATGATTGTGAATCCCCAGATAAGTAGCTAGATTTTTTTGGTTGTATTATTTTCGAAGGTTCTTTCATATTCAGATAGTTTAGTTCTGAAGTGGATGCATATTCTGTGTCTATATCTAAACAAAACTTGTTAAAGTATGAAGTTGCTTATTCTGAAGATTGACATGAATCCTAAAGATAAATACCTTGGCTGCTCTCCTTTTTGTTTTTTCCTTCTGTGATGTTTACCTTCTAGGGGATTCACAAATCCAAAAGGTGTATATTTACGGTGGTTTTGGAAATGTTTTTGCTGTCTGAAATGTTAACTGTAAGAATTTGATTGAAAGGCTGTCGATATTTTTCCAGGAGCGTAGTTCAAAGCATGAAAGGGAACTGCGGGCATTCAAGAAACGTCTGGACAAATATAACTCAGCAAAAGAAGCAATTTTTGATCCATTTTTCAATGAGTTGATTTTTTGGTCAAGCAGTGTGGAGTAGAGCTGGATGATTTTAGACTCCAACACGAAGTAGAATGAAGTCCTGATATTGCTCCCTGCCGGTGGATGTAAATTAATCTTTGTATTTGTAATGTTTAAAAATTTATAGACTAAATTAACACAAATGTAAACTATAATGACAACAGGTATATCTTAAGAACCTTTCTTTTACTTTAAATTGTTAGGCTATCTTGTTCCTCAACAGTGACTTTTCTCTTTTCATCATGATTTATCTCTGAGTTGTTATAATTATGGAAAATTAAAAGCAAACTTATCAGAGATATAGAGGATTGATAGGTGATGATTTAGATAAATTTGCTTTAGTAAAAAGTAGGGTGCATAATATCAAGTTTTGCATTACATTTACTTTATGATGATCTCTGAGCCAATCGATTTCAGTCTTCGTTAGAACATCATCTGAAAATGTGCTGGCAAACCACTACCGTTTTATCTTCTACTAGAATCAAGCATATGCATGCATGACATAGACTCAACTCTCAAGGGTTGTGGCACGACAGCCCAATACATTTTAACCAATATTCGATTCCTCTGTTTCTTTATTTTCCAATTTTGGGCAAGGAAAAGCACCCTGCTCTTTTACATTATCTTTGATATTTCTCCTTTCAGTGTATGTGGGCAGGAAATTGACATGCAGCTTCTGGACTGTCGCATAGATTTACTTTGCATGTAAGGGGGCATCAAATCAGTGACTGCTGGAGAATTTCTTTGAAAAGCTAAGTTTTTCTTTTTTGTTTTCAGAACTATTGTTAGGGATTATCTTGAATGCCTTTCCTGAGTTGCTTTACTGTGCATTTGAATTATCGTGATTTAGTTTTGAAACATGTTTTGATTCTGGAAGTGGGAATCAGATGGTGGGCGTATGGCTTTATGCAGGGAGCCCCAGGGAGAAATATAAAACAGGTGATTGACTGTATGGGCACTCTCTCTGAATTGCGTGTTTGCTTTTGGCTTTGTCTAGTCAGACAGGTTGCTTTTGATCCATTGATACGAAGAACCAAAGCGTCATAGGTTATTCCACATGCATTGTCCCCACTCCCATTGTATATTCTAATTCTTAATGGCACCATCACCAGCAGCAACAGCACCGCCATGCTTGTGGGAAGTAGCTGAAAACCTTTTTTGAGCCACTTTGGGAAAGCAGTTGCAGCATCAACCTCACTTCACTTAAGGTCAGCATCATTTTTTGAATTTTTTTTCCCTTTGTTTTGCTGCACTCTGCATAAACTCACAAGTTCTGCCCGTTCGGTCTCGTTTTTTCCAATAATGGCTGTCAAATCTTGTACCTGAAGTAATCTCAAAAGGCTAAAGACTGCATCATTTCATCCTAATCCCAATGCCCAATTCCCACTTAGATTTGATTTTCTCATTTCCTTCTTTTCCACCTCTATTAAACTATTTGCTTTGTGGGTTTTGCTGAGCTGAACACCTTTGACTCCATTTATATTATTATACACCTACACTGCATCTTTCCAAACATCTTCAATCTTTAATGTTCTTTAGACTTTAAAGTCAGAATTTGAGAAAGCATATCTTGTATTTGTTGGAATGGTTGTTAGCTTATTGTTTATTAGATTTAATAGATAAACTTTAGTTGCATATCTTGCTCCCAATTTGAAAAGAAATTAGGATGGAGAAAAGAGAGAAAAAAAGGGCTGCGATTACTTGGAAAGGGAAGAGAATGGAATCACTTGGCTTAGTTGCAGTCATGGGTGCATGTGTACAAATGCACATGCATGCTTTCTTCCCTTGGAGCTGCTATGGTTGAATGTTACTTTATTATCTTTGAGGTTATTTGTCTTTTGAGAAAAGATGGAAAAGGCAAAAAAGTATGGACGGGCTGATCCCCTTTTTCTCTTGTCGTTAGAGGCAACGTTTCCAATATTATCATTCTTGCTCGTAAAGTAACCATTTTTTCCCCTTTTCATTTATTGATTTATTTCTTTTATATATTGCAGCCGTAAGCATTCTACTTTTTTCACCTTTACCTTCTTCCTTTCCCCCGTTTCTCTCTTTGAACTTTGGACGCGAGCCCCTTTACACCATTTTTCCTGTCTGGTTTCGTTGTTTTTAAAAGCAACGCCTCAATTAAACCGATCCCATTAAGAATCCAGTTGGGTCTCTTCATTTGTCCCCAGAACTATAACCTCTCACCATTAAAATGGCCCAAACAGCTTCCAAATGCTTCTTCTTTTCCGTTCTGTCTCTCCTCGCCATCTGCTCTTCTGGTAAGCAACTTCTTATTCTCGAACTAGAACAGGTTATAGATCTATCTAGCTCAGTTCTTCGTTTTCTGCTATGATTCCGTCCGGGTTCCTGCGAGCTTCAGCTTCTGAATCGAAAGTTTGCATTTTGTCCACTAATGGCGTTTCATGTTTTCGCAAAAAATTTAAGGGGTTTTGTTGTTTAGTGTCGGGTGAATCTTTTTTCTTCGTTTCCGTTCTGAATGTATCTGCTTCTGCCGTTATCTCAGGTAGATTTGGTGGATCGCATTTGGATGTGCAAGAAAATGCTTCGGCAGAGTTGGAATGGAAGTTCAGTGAACTTGTTCGGACAACAATGCACGACGCGACCGACTCGCCGACAACGAATTTTCCGACAACTCCAGACACCTCCACGCCGACAATCATCACCGTTCCGGCGACCAACCCTATCACTGTCACTCCGTCGAGTCCTGCTTCCACGCCGGTGTCCATTCCCTTAACGACACCCATCACAGTTCCTGCTAACTCGCCGGTGCCGCTCACCAATCCGGTTGCGCCGCCAGTTACAGTACCCGGAGCCCAGCCCATAACGAACCCGGTGACCACTTATCCAGCTCCGTCAGGTGGTTCGCCGGTAGTAACACCCGTCACAAACCCAGTTCCGGTGTCCCCTCCGGCGATGACGAACGCACCGGTAATTCCAGGACAGAGCTGGTGTGTGGCCAGGTCCGGCGCTTCTGAGATGGCTCTTCAGTCGGCGTTGGACTACGCCTGTGGCACTGGGGCTGACTGTTCTCAAATCCAGCAAGGTGGAAGCTGCTACAACCCAAATACACTTGAAAACCACGCTTCTTTTGCATTCAATAGCTATTTTCAGAAGAATCCTTCTCCTACAAGCTGCGATTTTGGAGGATCTGCCATGGTTACCAACTCCAATCCAAGTAAGAGAAGACGGTCATAGTTTCTCAACCCCCGACCCTATGTTTTTACTCAATTAATCCAATTCTTGTCTTGGAACAGGCACTGGCTCTTGCCTTTACCCATCATCATCTTCCTCTGCGACGCCGGCATCCATGACGCCGTCGGTTCCAACGCCAACACCGACAACAACAGCGCCGATCACTGTCGCACCAACTATAGTTACGAACCCAACGTCTTCACCTGTAGGGACCGGCATGCCAGAGTAAGATGCTCTGTTCACTTCTCATGCCTATTAACTTTTTTAAAAAAGCTTGGAACTTTCTAATTCTTGGGGTTGAATTTGGGTTAAACTACGAGTTTGGATAATTTATAATATATCTTCAACTCTTAAAATTGTGCCCGTCTGTCCATCTGATTTGTCTAAACTAAAACATTCGGTTGAGGTTTGAGTGTAACGATTTAAGTCCCCATTTTTTATTATTGTTCTAAGAAAACACTAGAAAAGGTAGAGACTTGTTAGAGTTTACTAAAAACTTATTTGAAGGGTGGGGAATAAAATAGGCACAATTTGCATGAAACTTATACCTTTAAATTAATAAAACCATCTTCTTGGTGCAGAAATGGAACTCCTCCTGCAGTCTTTAACCCAGACAATCCAGCTTCAAGTATTGGCAGCTCAACAGGGTTTGGAACTGAGATCCCTCCAAGCTCAAGCACCTCAATATCCATGGCAGCTGGATTGAGACCCTTTACTTGGTGCATCATTATGACGATGTCCTTGATCACTCGCAGAATCACTCTGGAGTTATGAAATCACTGAGTTCTTCTCCTTGTACTGTACATGAAAGGCACTCGTAATTCACAGCTTCAGAATCGCCACCCAGTTCCACCATGAGTGCAATTTTTGGAGGAGAAAAGGGACCAGAGGTGAGTTTGAGAGATAGACAAGATGGTTTAGAGAATGCACTGCCACTGCCACTGCCTTGCTTGAGCTTTTGCTTGTGTAAAGATCAAATATATGTTAGTGATAGAGACGGATGTATTAGCTATTGGAACTTTGAGACTGTAATATAATATTTTTATAAATATATCTATATGTTAGATTTTGGGAGTATTGTTGGAATTTGTATCGCTGGTTATTTACTTCAACGTGGTCGGTGCTTGAGAATTAGAACTAGAACTTTGGTTCCAGAAAACAGGGAGACATAGCTGTGGACTGGAAATGTTTCTATAACTATGTTTAAGTCGGAGTGTTTTGTACTTAAAAAGGAAAAGAATGGTTGTCGCTCAATTTGAAATTTGTTGAGTTACTCGTTGGTTGAAGTTAGAATCCTTGAATCAAAACATAAGATTTCATATTATCTCGTATGATCAAAGATAAAATAAGATTTAGAATCTTAGTATAAATTGAGTCATTTCACAATTGAACTTGATCGATGTTTGATCAAGAGACCTTGTCACCACTATCTAGTTGATGAACACTATCACCATTTGTAGTTTTGTTGTCCAACCACGTTCTTTCAACGAGGAGCTAGATATCTAGAATGTCTAGAATGAACTAATTGAGATCAACGAGATCTAAGTTCTAGTTTCACCTCAAAATCAAATTGAGCAAAGAATGCTTAATCTATCAGCAGAGTGGTGATTGGTGGGTTAAGATCTACCGGTGGGTTAAAGGTTGGCATGGTGACAAAGATCTACCACATCAACATCCCATACATATCAACCAATGGTTATTTATAACTTTTTCTAAATACCATGGATTAAAGTTGTCCCTTCTTAAATCTCTAAATACAAAAAGTACATTTTAACTCAAGATTTTTGTTTGTTTGTTGTGGATAAAGATTTGCATGACAATAAAGGCTTAGTCACGGACGGATTTAGGAGCAAATCATTTAACCCAAGATTTATATATATTAACTATTTGATCTCTGAATTTTAAAGCGGAAATTCTTTGAAGTTTAAAAATTGACGTGTTTAATCTCAACCATTTGAAATCGTTTTTTCTAACTAGTCTCGAAAACTTCTAGCATCCACTTCAAAAATATAATCAAAATTTAGGTCCCAAACAATGTTATTTAGATTAGATTGGTGGTGATGCATCATGTTTAGACCAAAGTTGAAAATGAAAAAAAGGT